GAAAATATCTGAGAGAGGATGGACTGAGAATCTAGACCTTCTGTTATAAGCCTAATCACACTCTGGAGGTCAAAAGTTAACTGCCCCTACTGCGTGACCTCCCTTTGTTCTATGGAATGAGACAAGATGGAGAATGTCCCTCTTTTCTGTCTATTTTTTTTTTTTTTTTTTTTTTTAATAAAAATAAGAACAAAGGTGTAAATTACAAACAACAGTTTGTAACAATGATACAAATAAAGCAAAGTGTGCTTTCAGCTTTTCAGGTAGGTTTAGTATTCAATTATAACATACTACAGAAATATGTATACATATTTATATTACACAGACTGATATACACACATTATTTATATATATATAACTGGAATTAAAACTTACTCAGGTGTCGTTCTCTTTCCTCTAAATGTAGCTTCATGTCCGGCCAGAAGAATAGATTCCAGAATGATTTTAGTTGCACTGCCTCCTTTCATCCGGGACGATCCGCTGATGGCCTCAGCCTATAAGGAGAGACCAGAAGTGCAACAACAGCATCATTACTGCTTATGATGGCTGGATACTCCTTAAACATTAGTAAGAAAACTCATTTTTACGTTTTCGATACTATGATAGAGTGTCCTGGGTACTTGCCAGTGGTTACAAGGGTGCTTACTAAGGTGTTCAGAGCGGTTGGTAGTGTGTTGCATGTGCACAGATGTGTTTATGTCTATGCAATGTATCATACCCCCAATACAGGATTTAGGACAAATGCTTTCTTATGTCTCTGCTCTGCAGCCATCCTCTCTGCAACGTCTTTAAAGTGAAAGGAACAGTCCTGCATTGGTTCTCTCCTGTCAGGAGGGCAAGAATGTCACCATCTACTGTTGTTACTGTTCACTTCAAATATGATATGCAAATATGAGAGCTTGTAATATGCAGAAAGGCATTGTATGCACTCAGTAGGTCTACCTCGCCATATGTACAGGATTGAATCCCAGAAGCACTGGAGTAAAGACGTCTAAGTGCTTCAGACAAAAATCCAGTTGCCCAGCAACAAACGGTGCCTTTGACACAGAACAACATCATGAAGCGCATTCACAGACGGCTTTGATAAAGGCTCACGTTAATGTTACCTACATACTGTACATCTGAAAGAAATCAAATAAAAATGGCAGACCTTTCCTACCGTACACTCAAACAGTTAAAAAAGCTGTCACTGGGGTAGTACCCTTTCAAAAGGTACACTTTTGTACCTTATGGTGCCTTTTAGTACCTTCAATGTACCTTCATATTTGTACATATTAGTACCTTTTGAAAGGGTACCATCCCAGTGAAAGCTTTTGAGGCTATTTTCAGTGGTCAAAATATCATCAATCACATTTGTTATTATTTATGAAGTAAAAAATGGGGACAATACATTATTGTATGTTTTAGTTTTTTGTATTATTGTGTTTGTAGGTTTAAACTGGCCCTAACTGGTTTTAATAGAATTAATCGAATATCACATTATGAAAAATAGTAAACAGTAGCCATTGTAAATAGGAAACAGATCAAAATAGTACTATATTATAACAAAATTATTTATAACAAAACTAAAATTAAAAATGAGAACTTAGAAATAAAATGTTAAAATTTTTATTTCAATTATTATTCTTTTTTTTAATTATTTTATTGAACAAATATTTGTAACATTTTCTAATTGTATTTAATATTTTCATTTTCACAAACTGACTATCCTGCATTAATTCAAATTGTTAATTTTCTTTTTTAATGTTATTTTATGTATGTTTTTGCTTTTGGAGGCTTTGTTGGTCCAATTTTTTTTTTTTTTTTGTATGTGAAATTTGAAATTTTTAATGTAAAATGTGAAGTTTTGAATGTAAAAAACCAGGACTGTTCTTGGAAAACTGGGACGTCTGGTCACACGTCTGGATGTTTAGTTAAAATTCACTAAATTAATCTACAAATGAGAAGAGTTTATTTAAAATTTCTATTGTCACGACTTTTGTCCTTTACTATTGATTGAATAATGCGATTTGAAAAAAAGACAATAGTATCATTCATACCGACATGCCACAGGATATTCCAATGAACAGAACATGCTTCTTTCCTGCACAAATCTGTTAGTGGAAAAAGAAAAATATGTTTAAAATAAGTCAAGCTCTATGAATGTTCTTTAGATAGTGTTTTTGGTAAAAAAAAAAGCAACATTATTAATATCGTTACTCAAATATCTACATTTCTAAAGGTTCTTTAGCTCACTTATTTTTCTAATTGATTAGACTTGATTTTCAAATGATAAAATAGGTGGAAATGGATGAGACATGGGGTGAGAAATATTGACTTGGGCCTATAAGCAGCAACATAGCAAGCACATAGCCATGTGTTAAAAAAAAACTAAAAACCTTTGGAACACTTTAGTAATCACATAGCAGCAACCTGTCAACTGCCCAGAACTCTCTGGTACTGTGGTGTTGAGCACAGGTGCCGTTCACATGTTCTTCTGAAAATGTCAAAGAATAGCCTGTTGTCTCTGCTTAGGATGGTGAACTCTTTGTTCTTGCATTCACCTTGTCCAGTGTGCGAGCTCCCAGCGCCGGGTCGTCCTCTGGAGCCTCCTGTGATGTCAGCAGGGCCCTTTAAAAACAGAGTCCTGAAATACTGCAGTGTCACACTGGAGTCTCATCTTATGCATCAAACAGACAGACTGTTTATTCACCTGTCACCTCCAGCTATGATGTACGAACAGATCTGTTTCTGTTTTTGGGCTTTCAACATCTCATTAAAGGATGTCTGAAGTATGAATGACAAATTTAAAGAAGAAATTGAACAGTCATGAAGAACACAGTGGGGGAGAACAGATAAATACACTGTAAATATTCAGTAGTTTCTCATTTAATTTTTTTAATTCAAACTGCTATTATTTATTTATTATAATTAATTAATTATTAAATCTTTCTTAAACTCTATACCACCAAAAGAAATGCAATACGGCCTGATGTTCCACAGCCACTTAATACAATCAAACTCTCCTCTGGGTCCTGCAGAAACAATTATGATGTTTTTAACATTTTGACATTTTTCAAGAACATTTATAAAAATTAATTAAAATAAATTTTAATTAATTAATTTATTTATTTTTTACTAAAAAATACTTATGATTCTAAATTATATATATATAATCATTAAATTAATCATTAATCATTCAATTAAATAATCACTAAATAATAAAAGAATTAATTATATATATATTCATATTCAATATTCTGTTCTATAATTGTAAAGCACTACTCTATTCTATTATGGTATATCAGTATTCTATTATGATGACTAGTCAACGCAGTATTCTATTCCTTTCTATGGTATAATCTGTAGTCAACACAGTATTCTATTGTATTCTGGTATGATCAGTAGTCAAAGCAGTATTCTATTATTTTCTACTCTATTCTATTCTGTTCTATAATTGTAAAGCAGTATTCTATTCTATTATGGTATATCAGTATTCTGTTATGATCATTTGTCAAAGCCATATTCTATTCTATTTTTTTATTATGGTATATCAGTATTCTGTTATGATCAGTAATCAAAGCAGTATCCTATTCTATTCTGTTCTATTCTATGGTATAATCTGTAGTCAAAACAGTATTCTATTCTATTGCATTCTATTCTGTCCCATGGTATAATCTGCAATCAAAACAGTATTATATTCTATTATGGTATGAACAGTAGTAAAAACAGTATTCTGTTCTACTCTATTCTATTCTGTTCTATAATTGTAAAGCAGTATTCTATTCTATTATGGTATATCAGTATTCTGTTATGATCATTTGTCAAAGCCATATTCTATTCTATTTTTTTATTATGGTATATCAGTATTCTGTTATGATCAGTAATCAAAGCAGTATCCTATTCTATTCTGTTCTATTCTATGGTATAATCTGTAGTCAAAACAGTATTCTATTCTATTGCATTCTATTCTGTCCCATGGTATAATCTGCAATCAAAACAGTATTCTATTCTATTATGGTATGAACAGTAGTAAAAACAGTATTCTGTTCTACTCTATTATATTTTTTTCATATCAGTATTCTGTTATAATATCAGTATTCTGTTCTATTCTACTCTATTCTGTTATATCAATATTCTATTATGGTATAATCATATTCTATTCTGTTATGCTATATCAGTATTCTATTGTGGTATGAACAGTAGTCAAAGCAGTATTCTATTATATTTCTACTCTATTCTGTTATGTTATATCGGCATTCTTTTATGGTATGATCAGTAGTCAAATCAGTGTTCTATTCGACTCTATTATGTTATATCAGTATTCTACTATGTATGATCAGCAGTCAAAGATATATTCTGTTCTGTTCTGTTCTGTTTCATTCTATTATGATATATTCAGTACTGTGTATATTAGCATTATTTATTTATTTTTTATTTCAAATAGCTTTTTTATCTAATTATTTTATTCATATTATTCTTGGATTTTTATTAATATTTTTGGTTGTATTCCATTTGATCAGAAATTCTTGTGTATTCTTAACATAATATTAATATCCCAGTAGACTATTCTATTAAAGTTAATCTAAAATATATAGTTTGTTACATTGGATTGTCACTAATTTTGACCAAATGAGTTACACTTATACCTTAAAGAGAATAATTACGATTTAAATTAATTTGCATAATTTCCCAGCAGAGTGAATCAGCCTTGTCTGTTTTATCTAGTTATTAATTATTCAAAATATTCTTAGATTATTTTGAGTGTATTCTGTTCTATCTGAAATAACATGTATTCTTAATATAATATTTAGTATTCCTTTAAGTAACAAATTCTATTCTGTTGTATTTAATTACACTATATTCACACATCTTGTCTAATGTGAAACTCTAAAGTATTTTGAATATTATAGCAGTACACTATATAAATTAAATAGATATGTGTTCTGATGTGTGATTTATTTTATTTCCATTCTTCCCACAGTTCTGTTCTGTTCTATGCCTATGTCTCTCATGATGTTTGCAGTGGACTATCGGTGTGCAAGTTTGAATGGCGCCATAAATCGCGTCCAGCAGAGCTGGTGAGGGTGTTTTTGGAGAGGTGGCGGCTGCTCCGCATTCATGCCGGTGCAGGTTCGTGCGTCATGCGGCTATAGAAGGTGAATGAGTGACTGCTGAGAATCAATCAGTAACTGGCCACCTGTGGGTCATGTGCCCGCGATGCAGCGCCGCTGATTGATTGGTATTCTTAAAGCGTACACGAGCACATAAAGTGAGGAAGGCGAGCGCGAGCTATGCGATGGACGCCGTGCGTTTACGCGTTACATTAGACGCGCGGCGAGCGGATGAAACTGGTGGCGAGGCTGACGTTCCTTTGTAGTATAGATGAAAGGACGTCAAAAGTGTGCTTTCTGCAGCTCTCAAAACACTAAAGATCACCGCGAAAGGAAGCGTTTTCCTCGCTCTTTGCGGATTGGGATGGCAACAGATTGAGGCGCATTGGACATCAGACTGCGAGGATGCTGAGGATGATGCTGGCTTAGATTGTTTATCATCTTCGTGATCACAATGTATACGTGTTGCAAACAGATGCGTTGTGGATAATCCTGTAATAGCTGGAGGAATGTTTAGTTCAGGTTACTTTTCCGTGGAAATCGGCGTCGCACATCTGGATTAACTCTTAAGGAAGATATGATTCACCTAGTCACATGTATGAGCCTCGTCCTGTCTCTGTTTGGATGCCACATCTGCTCTGCAGGGGCGAGTAAGTCAACTTATTTTCCTTCTGTGTCATACAGTTTGACTAATAAAAAAGATCAAATGCAGAGTCTATCTCTTTATACTTGTTGGTCACCATGACTACAGTCAAGCATTAGAGAAGGCTGTGTTAATGCTTTCAGTGTTTTTATTATAAGCTCTCCGGGAGCCATGCAGCGGAGGAAGACATTAAGGAAATTGCTTTTACTCTGTTAGTGTTGTCTTTGATTTAATGGCTCAACAGAGCATGTCAAATCATGACATTTAAGTGCCAGATGTATTATATGTTCAAAATGGAAATATGGTCTCAAACTACTGCGTTGGTGTATTAAACACCATGATTTCATTATATTACTTTGATTAATCTATTATCTTTGTTACTTAACGAATGAATTACTGTCATATATGAAGATTTATGCATTTTGCACACCCTTCAATGCACTAACAGTAATTTAAACTACTGTCAAACCTGTAATTACATCGAACTCCACAGTTAATTTGAAAGACTGGCATCTCTCTCAGTGCACTTATTCTTAATAAGCCAGTTTTATCAGAAACCATACACAATGATGTGTTCACTTAGCATTGACCTTGGCATGTTACAAAGAGCTGAATTTCTCTTTTGTTGGCAAATACCAGGATAAAAGGATGAGCGCCGTTACTCCTCCTTCTGACACAATGTTTGCTTTTTTGCTGAGCTCTGTGAATGTGTTTGATCCTGAAATACTGGCTCAGTTGCCCTGCCAGGCCAGACTTTGTGCTCTCCTTGGGGACTAAATTATTTGCAAGGGGGTGTTTAGCTTTGAAATGGACACATAGATTGGGTTTAGGGTACTGCTGACATTTTGAACCATATTTACTGTACATAACTGTACTAAAAGTTTTATTTTATTTTTAATCTTAGACTATATTTGTACATGTTTTCAATATGCACTTTATTTTTTTAAAACCTATTATTTACAAAAAATTTGCTAATGTGCATATTCACAAGATGTTAACCTTTCTGTTGATTATCAGCAAGTCATTTTGCTACTGCATGCAGTATTAATAAAGAGAAGGTTGGTGTAGACTGTTTTGTGCATAGGTCAGTCCTCTTGGTAGCTGAATTGTATTTTATCTACCTCTTGAAGTAAGATATGCCAATATGAGCTTTGGGTAGAAAGCATACTTAAGAAAATAAAGATGTCAGCTGAATAAAATAAAATAAAAAAGCTGTTGGTAACTTAACAGGGATCCAGGTCCAAGCATGTATGTCCTGTGTGTGTGTATATTTTATATATATATACAGTGGGTACGGAAAGTATTCAGACCCCCTTAAATTTTTCACTCTTTGTTATATTGCAGCCATTTGCTAAAATCATTTGTTAATTTTTTTTCCTCATTAATGTACACACAGCACCCCATATTGACAGAAAAACACAGAATCGTTGACATAAGGGGGTCTGAATACTTTCCGTACCCACTGTATATATATATACACTTTGTGTGGTTTTATATTGATAAGATTTTTCGCTATGTTGTATAATTGTTAGATCATGTCATTATTTATTTCTATAGTGTGTTTCACAATACAGATGGTTTCAAAGCAGATTTACAGTTATATTGTAGCAGAAGGTCATACTGTTGTGTTTATAATGTCTTTAAATTCCTCCTGAACAGATTCATAAAAAAAGCATGGTTAAAAGTGCCTTAATGCATTTCTATTTATCCTCTCTAGACCGTTTAAATAATTATTTTTATATTAAGAATATGTTGTTGTGTGTTGGTTAAAAACCAAAAGCCCTTTTCTGTCAAACCGATTTTTCACGCTGGCGCAAAAAGTCAGAGATTTGGCAAAGAAGAGTTTACCACTAATTTTGACCAACTGAGTCACGCTGATCCCATTAAAATAATTAAAATTAGAATTCATTTGCATAATATCCCAGCAGAGTGAATCGGCTAAATACAGAAGTGTTGCATATTTATGAAATGCATTATTGTAGTTGTTCTTTGAGCCGATGTCAGGTTGGCCCTTGGATGTCTTGGGGAAATGAAGACCGAAAAACAACTAAAGCATCTGAAAATACCTCACAAACATCGTCCTTTTGCATGCAACAGTTCATCTTTTCAAACATGATGTTTATGGAGCCTGAGTTTTTCATTGAATAGTTCAGTCTTTATTTCAGTTGTATATGTTTGAGTGCATCGGGGGGTTGTGCTAATAAATGATTCATGCTGGTGATTTGTGCTTCACAGACCGCCCTGCTGCTCCTGTCAATGTCTCTGTTACTCACCTGCGGGCAGATTCGGCCACCGTGTCCTGGAATATTCCGGAGGGAGAGACCGTAATTGGCTTTGCCATCTCACAGCAGGTCAAAGTTATTACAATGAGATGCAGCCCTGGGGCGTTATTATAATAGCAGAAGTCTGACATTTAATATCAGCAATAAATTTACCCTCTGATGAATCTTCATGTGCTTTGACTTCAACGAACGTGTGTGTGCATGTGTGCGTGTGTGCGTGTGTGTGTGTGTGTGTGTGGGTGTGTGTGTTTTAGCGTCAGGACGGGTTGATGCAACGTTTCATTCGTGAGGTGAACACGACCAGTCGTGCTTGTATACTTTGGGATCTGGATGAAGACATGGATTATATTATCCAGGTCCAGTCCATCGGACTCTATGGAGAGAGTCTGGCCAGCAAAAAGATTCACTTCAGGACGCTTAAAAAGTCTGAACATATTCAATCCACCATGATGGATCAGGGTAAACATGTCTGTTGGTTATTTTTTTTATTGGATCGTATACAGCATTAGTACAGTATCATTCATTTAATAAAGTACATTTCACATTTTTATTGTGAAATATCACTTTAACATGGAAACCCATTTCTGCCACGGGTGGGGGGGGGAAATGAAAAGGGTAATTGCAACTTTTGTCTCACAATTCTGATTTTTATTCTTGCCGTTCTGAGTTTATATATCAAAATTCAGACTTTGTTTTTCACAATTCTAATTCTCACAGTTCCGAGTTTGTCACAATTCTGAATTTCTATCTTGCAATTTACTTTTTTTTTTCTCTGAATTCTGAGTTTACATCTCACAATTGTTTTTGTTTGTTTCTGCCACAGAATAAAAAACAACAAAGGTAATTGCAACTATTTATCTCATAATTCTGACTACTTTTTGTTCAGAACTGAAGTCGGAATTATGAGATATAAACAGAATTGCAAATTGCAAGAATTGCAAAAAAAAAAAAATCTGATTTGTGAAATTAAAAATCTTTTTTTTTTCTGTGGCAGAAACAGGCTTCCATACTTTAAGAAGTCAATTAAATGATTCGACCACCGAAAACTCATGAAATCAAACACTTTGGTGGCTCAGAAAACCCAAACTCAGCAAAAATATGCAATTTGGTTCACTTGCTGATATTTATATGGCCAAAAAGTAAGATGACGTTCTTATAGTGTGTAATGTAAATCAATGATTAGTGTTTTGATTAATTATCCTATTAAACGGGAAGTTTTTGTGCAGCTCAAAGCTAACAGCCATGATCTGTTTCGTGAGTTTTTAATAAGTAACATCATTATTAATTCTCTTCAATCCTCTAACATGTTGTTGTCTTGTTTACCTGATCAGATGACCCTGCAGTTGAGGGTTTAGACCTTTCCAGACACCTGCAGACTGGAGAGATACTGATCATTATGACTGTACTGCTAATGTGGGCAGGTAAAGGGTGTTGTGTTGGATTTAGTTACACATAATCATGATGAACAAGAAATATTCTGGTTGCAATGATATTCATGATATTGATTGCAAAAAAAAGGAAATAATTTTGACTTGTCCTTCCTCCTGTAAAGCCTGACATATAAAATAATAGTCAGAAAAATATATATATTTTTTTTTTTAAATGTAACCGTTTATAGAACCTTTAGGCAAAATAAACCGTATATGTGACCCTGGACCACAAAACCAGTCATAAGGGTCAATTTTTCAAAATTAAGATTTATACATCATTTGAAAGCTGAATAAATAAGCTTTCCATTGATGTATGGTTTGTTAGGATAGGACAAAGTTGCTGAGATACAACTATTTGAAAATCTGGAATCTGAGGGTGCAAAAAAAATCCAAATATTGAGAAAATCGCCTTTAAAGTTGTTCAAATGAAATTCTTAGCAATGCATATTACTAATCAAAAATGATGTTTTAATATATTTACGGTAGGAAGTTTACAAAATATCTTCATGGAACATTATCTTTACTTAATATCCTAATGATTTTTGGCATAAAAGAAAAATCGATCATTTTGACCCATACAATGTATTTTTGGCTGTTGCTACAAATATACCCCAGCGACTTAAGACTGGTTTAGTGCTCCAGGGTCACATATATAAAAAAAGTTTGCATATAAGTTTTTTTGAGTATGAGTTATACGAGTCTCACATCAGAGAATATGGAGCTGTGCACGTGTATGATAAAATATGTATGGATCATCAGGTAAACCTTACACCGCAAAAAGCCATGTGAACCATGATCGGAAGGAGGATGTTTTTACAATTATACATGCTAAAAAAAGAATAAGCTATCAATCAGATGACAGAAGGCATGCAGGGGACCGGTTTTTCAGCAAAGTTTTGATCGTGCTGATAATTTAGAGACCTTAATACAAATATGATGCAGTAGGGTTTTGAATGCAGAGTTTCCATTTATCAGAGCTGTAACATTCTTTTAAACTTCTCAGATCTGCATTCAATACATTTTGGCATCATTGAAATATTTTCCTAAAGTTGCAGAATGCTAGGCCTACCTTGTTGATTTTACGATGACCTTAAGAAAACGTTCTCCTTTCAAACTCAATTGGGATGGCTAGATGGATGATAGTGTGTTGTTTTAATTAAACATATCAGATCTGCGTCCCGTAATCAAGCTGATCTCGGTCTCGCTGCAGCTGTGATCGTGCTCTTCTGTAAGCAGTACGATATCATCAAAGACAACGACTCCAACAACCACAGTAAAGAGAAGAGCAAGCCACTGTCCGGCCAGAGCACTCCAGAGTATCATAACGGAGGCCTGCTGGGCAGCAAGGTGAGAACTTCACCACTGATCACATATGAGCACGCTTTTTATACATTCAGCAAATATTTATCAAATAAATATATATATATATATGTGTATGTGTATATATGTATGTATATCAAATAAAATTGTGTTGCATTTGAATTCAGATTTATGTAAATATGTCTTCACTCTTAGTAGCCTGATCAAATAGTCAAACAGAGATGTTAAAAATCACACTTCATATTACTTTTGGTTGATTTGTCACTTTGGAAATGTAAGGTTAAATGTGACCTTGGACCACAGAACCTCTTAAGTCGCTGGGGTATATTTGTAGCAATAGCCAAAAATACATTGTATGGGTCAAAATTATTGATTTTTCTTTTTAACCTTATGACTGGTTTTGTGGTCCAGGGTCACAAATAACGAAGTCTATAATTCCATGATATACATTCTCATTCTCCAGAATACACAATCTAAAATATTTGATTTTGTCAGAATATATGGCTACTTTGTTAACAGGCTGTACTTTATGTCTGCATATTGCATATTACATTGCGGTACAAAGTATTGTATACTGCATGATTTTAAAAATGCAGTAGGTTCTGTATTCTGTATATACAGAAAATTTGGTAACGCTTTACAATTATGTCCCATTAGTTAATGCATTAACTAACATTTACTCTACAATTTGTTACAGTATTTATTCATCTTTGTTAACGTTAATGAATGTAAATAAAGTTAATAATAATATTATGCTTTGTTGTTAGCTCATTCTCGTTAGCTCAGGTACATTAAATAATATTAACATATAAAACTTTTGATTTTAAACCATTAACAAATACAACTTTTGATTTTGATAATATATTAGTAAACATTAACTAAGATTATTAAATGCTTTAGAAGTATTCTTCATTCTTAGTTAGTGCATGTTAACTTCTGTGCTTGACTAATGTTAATAAATGGAACCTTACTATAAAGTGTTACCAAAAATTGCTTTAAAAAGATGTTTTATTGTTAGTTAATGTTAACTAGTGTAGCTAACTAATCTTAGCAAATGGAACTTTATTGCAAAGTATTACTGAAAATTGCTTTAGAAGTATTTTAATTGTTAGTTAATGCTTACTAATATAGTTACCGTATTACCAAATAATTTTTCTTCTGAAATATTTTTTGTTTATTCATGTTAAACTAATGTAGAATACGGTGAAGTAAAATCCTGCCTCAGAATGATAGTTTTCTCTTCTCTTCTTTCATTCTTAACTCTGACTATTTTACTCTTTTGTAGTTCCAAAGGACATCATCCTCTGTCAGCATCATCAAGGTTTAACCACAGCATCATCACGGATCCTGGTCTGTCAGACCTGTCGGCGGATATCAGCTCTTCTGATATTCAAGCGGTAAAGGCAATAGTAACGTGAACCTCTCAGCTCCCTCAGCCACATCGGGAATTGTAAGGTAGTATACGGGCATTCGGTAGTACAGTATACTCCAATAAACAACAATGCCCTGGACAATGAACATACTGTAATTCTTTGACTAATACATCAACTGTAATCATGGAAGGAGCTATCGGTGCTACGAATATGATTGTGAAAACACGTGTGTGTCTGTGTGTGTGGTGTGTGTGTGTGTGTGTGTGTGTGTGCGTGCGTGCTTTTGTGACAAATGAGGACATAAATTTGTATAATGACAAGGGTATGACATAGGTATTACAAGGAGAAGGTGACTTTTCAGGACATTACCCCATGTCCCCACTTTTCAATGGAGAGTCCCCACAAGGATAGCTGACCAGACGTGTGTGTGTACGTGTGGACTAATAATTGTAACAAATGTGGCATTTCTCATTAATACGTGTAAATTGACAATAAATTCATCATCAGCCACAGAAGTGGCCTTAAAATATTTATTATTAAATTCTAACCGCAGTGAACAGTATAACATTGGCTTGTTTTATGTTTTTATTAAGTATTAACACCGTTAATAATTGTTTCACACCCATGTAGAGTTGATTGTTGACTGTTCAACAGTGAGGTTTACAGCAGATCCAGTGCAGGAGTGTGCGTGTTCATAAGAAATGGTTTTGTGTGTGCATTTCTATGCCAAACTAGTTAAAGTTTCTATTTTGAGCTTGTAAATTGAGTTAGTAAAACCATACATCTACCCTGGTATTGTAATGTGCATAGTTCAGAAAATAATACTTATTTTATTGTTATATATTTTTTTATTTGTTCTCTAATTGAGAAGTTTTGATCAAGTTATATATATATATATATATATATTAGTAAATTAGCTACACATAGCTGTAGTTTTGGGCAATAGATAAAGAATGTAGTTTATAAACTGGATTTCATTGCAAAACTTAGAAGGGAAGTTTGTTAATATTCTTGTTCTCAATCCTGCTTTCCAATAAATGGAAAATTAAAAACCATGAGCTTTGTCTGTTTGTTTGTTTGTTTGTTTGTTTGTTTGTGTGTCTATTTATTCTTATTTATTCATTTATTGAGAGGCAGAAGAATCATTTTATATTATATCATCGTAAGTATGATAAAAAATATAATCCATGAGGAGATTTTTTTTTTAGTGTTTAGGAAATTATATCAAAAATGTATCTGTGTGTGTATAAATATATGCACATATACAGTACGTATGACTAATCTACAATATTTAATATAATCCATCATGACGTTTTTGAACTTTTAATAAGAAATGATACAATAATTCAAATTAAGTTTTCATTTTTTGATCCCAATTTTCAATAAATGGAAAAGAATTAACTTTGTCTGTGTATTCTTTTAGAGAGGCAGAAATATTATATTATAACTTGAAAATACTTGAAGAAAAAAATTGATATAAATTAGTGCTGTCAAACGATTAATCGCGAATAATCACATCCAAAATAAAAGTTTTTGTTTACATAATATATGTGTGTGTACTGTGTACATTTATTATGTATAGGCTATATAAATACACATGCATGTATATATTTAAGAAAATATTTACATGCATGTATATTCTTATACTTTATATTATTTATAAATATATTTAATATATAAACATATATGTTTTTTAAATATATACATGCATGTGTGTGTGTATTTATATATACATACATATACACAGTACACACATATATTCTGTAAACAAAAACGTTTATTTTGAATGCGATTAATCGCGATTAATTGTTTGACAGCACTAATATAAATGCATATAATATGTAAAGGCTTTTTTGACGTTTTAAGTGTTTAAGAAATTATTATAGATCGATAGATCGGGATAGATGGATAGATTAGAGCGCTGCTGTACTCGGACTGTCCAGTAGGGGTCGCTGTTTCCTTGTTTCACGCTGAACTCTTTCAATCACTTCCTGTGCTGCACATTCCCATCACAACAACTCCAGCAGCAATGAAACTTGCACACTTTCACTTCTTCAACACATGGAGACACTTTACAGGGATAAAAATCCACATGGACGAATAATTCTTCATGGAGAGACGCTGATATTCCCGCTGCTGGCTGTCCGGAGGTTATAAACACTGGACTTTTATTGCATCTTCTCTTTTTGGGCTAGCTAGTCGTGCTAGTTAGCCTTCGACTGATAACACAAATTATATCCAAAATATCTTAATTTTTTCATTGATGTGGATTAATAACAGACTCGAGACGCCAGTGTCGCAATGTAAACGTCATATAATCGTATATGACAGCGTTTCTGCAGTTTTGTCTATGAATTATGTATGTAGTTTAATATTAACTCACGCTAACTGAAATCATAACAGGGCAATTTCAGTTGTTTGGATGTTTGGATATGATTTTTGGAGATACACAGTATTAAACGTGTTTAGTTCGGGGTTTGAGGAACTCTTTGTTCGGGAGAGGAAGAGGAAAATGAGGAAGAGGAAGATGATGGTGATGAAGATCAGCTCAACAGCGAACTGCTGATTATAAACAGACACATTCAGAAAAATGCCTAGAAGAAAACAGTCGAACCCACAGCCTGTCAAATGTAAGTCTGGATTTCTATCTCACCTGAATTCACTTCAGTTCAGTTTGACTGTTGAAATCAGTGTGATTGTATTTACTTCTGTTGATAGTTATTAATTAAAGCGTAAAAATGGCATCACATTCAGTCTGTCTCTAGTTATTTGATGAGCTCATTCAGACATTTCTGGCTTTTTTAGTTCCTCTTGCGCTCCTACAGCTTGATCTTATTTTCTGCTGGTGAAAATCAGCAGTGTATATTTAATATTTAGAAAACTTTCCACCCCAGAGCCTGTCAAATGTAGGTTTTGCAGATCTCCTGATTTCTATCTCTGTAGCTGTACTAGATTTGACAGTGTCTTCTGCTTTGTTGCAATAAAACTCCTGCTCTTCATGTATGTCATAATTTCACTGTTGAAATAAGTGTTAAGAAAATGGGCAAATATCAGTGTCTGATGTAAATATCAATATATTTCAGGGACTAGTCATTTTGAGACTATTCACATGACTGATTATGACTAATCTTTATTTCAGTTATGAATAGTCAAAACAAAAGCATTATATTAACAGTAGCTAATATTTTTAATAATATATATGATTTTGTACTAATAACATATTATATATATATACAACATACACACACACACACGAATATACATAGATATATACATATTTGAGGCAATATTATTTACATGGCCAATTATGACATTAGTCATTAGTCCAATTTTAAATAGTTGAAAGCATTATTATTATTACTACTACTAATAATAACAACAATAATAATAAATACTATTTTTAATATTAATAAATAAAAATGTGGTCCCTTTGTACATTAGATGTCTTTAACTACTTATGTCTAAAGAATTAATAATAATAATAATAATAAATAATTTATAAAAAATGTATAACAAATAATTGACTGTCTGTCTGTGTGTATCTCTCTCTTTTGTAGTGATATATTTTGTTTTTAAGTCATGTCCTTCGCTGTAAAAAATGAACGTGAATTTAACGGTAAAAGACTGTAAAAATGCTACAGTAAAAACCTGTTAAATGGTTAACGGTAAATTCCCCTACTATATACGGTGAAAAACTGTATTGGACATTAATTGTACGGTAGTATACCGTTTTTGGAAGTGAAAAAGACCGTATAATTTACAGTGAATAACCGTAAATTGACATTCCCAGAATTCAATGTTACATTTCAAATTTGATGTTTTTTTGTTGAAATAACTGTTTCTTCTTAGTTTCTTCTTATCAGTTTTGTATATTAGGGTTGTGTGTTACACCTAATGTTGTTAAATGAATGTTTATTGCATTATTTCAGTTTCATGTGTGTTACCATGATGGTGTTTGGTGTTTGTGTGAATGACGCTGTGCATCTTCTATATATGTTATTATTTAAAAGCTGCTTATGATGGGCTTTGGTTCATCGTGTGACTTTCTCATCACCTCCTGCATTTGGTGGTTATCAGTGTATTACAAAGGTACAAAACAGATTTCAGTACTTCAATAGGTTGGTATATTAACATTATATCAGTTAATGAAATTACGGTATTTAACTGTAAATCTAAGTTAAAACCGTAAAACCTAAAACGTTGCTACCGTATTTTTTACGGTAATATTCCAGCAACCACAGCTGCCGGTTTTTTACTGTAAATTTTACAGATTTTTTTTTTTACAGTGTTGGTTTCCGTGTTTTTTTTTTCTTTACTGATTTAATTTTTTTCCCCACTGTATTTTCACTCCATTAAATTGATTTTTGCGGCACTTTATTGTTGAAATAATGTCTGTGTCCATTTCTGTCAAAATTAATATTGCAGATCATGTGGTTTTTGTTGAACAAACACAAGTCTAACCGTTCCTTTAGTTTGAAAACAGCTCTTTTTAGTTCCTCTAGAGCAGGGGTGTCAAACTCAGTTCCTGGAGGGCCGGAGCCCTGCAGAGTTTTATTCCAAACCTGCTCCAACACGCATACCATGAAGTTTACAAATAAGCCTGAAGGACTTGATTAGTTGGATCAGGTGTGTTTAATCTAAACTCTGCAAGGCTCCGGCCCTCCAGGAATTGAGTTTGACACTCCTGCTCTAGAGCTTTTATATTAGATCTAAAGGAAATAGTTTGAGTTTCCAAAGCCCTTGTTTAATGTTGAGTTACGTGTCTTTAAGAATCAGCTCTATCTCAGTGAACACATATCGGTTTTCCCCTCTTCTGTCGTCATTCTTTCCTCACTGCGTTTCCTCAGGACAGACCCCTGTTCCTGCCGCGGGACCCATCTCTGACCCGACTGCCTCCGTTTATCTGCCATCTCTCCACTGTTCCTTCCTCCTCCATTCATTCCTGGCATATTTTTTTCCTCATTCCAGAGCTCCAGTGCTGATAACCGTCAGTCTTATCACTGTATGAGTCTCTCATACCCATTTAGTGGATATGACTGACTGAGAATCATGTACAGATAAGCTACATCTAAGGCTTCTTCTAGAATGTGTAATATCCATACAATTCATTAGTATGATCAGATAATGTTAAGATATAGTTTTCAGTTACCTATGGCGATATCATTAGAACAAAGAGGCCGATATATTGCTGCTATATGATGTACAATATGATTAAATGAACATTTTACACTATATTTACTCAACATGCACTCAG